TGCCAACAATCATATGAGCAAGCTTGATAGTGGATCCTTCCTAGCTGGCCTTCAGAAGAGACCACAGGTTCAGCAGACACTGGCCTGCAACCTCAGAAGGATCTTGAGGTACCGAGTAAGCCATTTCCCATCTCCTGATTCACAGAACTGTGAGATAGTCAATGTTTCTTGTTGGAAGGTGCTAAGCTTGGGGTAATTTATTACACAGCAACAGATAAAAAGGACAACATCCAAGTTGGAGAGGTTCACTCCTTTGTTATTTGAATGGCTCCTGCCAACTCCACCATTTCTCATGAGGCCTAGGAAGCAGAGCATAAGATCTCTTGAAGGAACCAGTATCCCCCAGAATACAGAGATGTTTTCCAGTTTGGTGACATATACTCAGGCATGCTCTGACCTGCACTTAGAGATAACCATGAAATAATTTTAATGCAGATCAGAATAACATGGCAAGTTCAAGGGCAGCATGTTAATGGAAATGAACTGGAAACTGAGTCACATGTAGACAAATGAGAGACTCCTTACCAGACACCTGGTATATCTGCTACACAGACCATGCACCCTTAGGACCAGACCAGCCCTAGTGGGCCAAACAGTGTCCACAGATCCATCCCGAGATCTGAGACTCTAACTTACCTTGATTTCCCAAAAACCTAATATGAGGTCTGAAACATATCTAATGATTAATAAACGTGTTATAAATAGTAAAGTTTTAATGTTTGTTTCTCATGTGGGTATCTTTCCCTCCAACTAGACTTCAGGTTTCTCAAGGTTAGGGACTCTATGTTGTCTGAAAGATCCTGAGATTCACTGACTATATAAGGTCAATATTAGGATCAGGTCAATACCAGGCTGAGAGCAGAGAATAAGCACAGGGGAGAGATTCTCTGTAAATGTGGGTAAATACCTGGCAGCAATCTCTGAAGGACTTGGGAGCTCTCCACTCACTGGGCATCAGATCCCTCTACCAAACATTAACCCAATGAGGAGAACCTGAGGGCTCCTGTGGCCTCCCCATGGTAAAGTAGTTATTTCTACTATGCTGAAGTCAGGAAATGGAAGAATGTGGAATAAGGAGGAAGGAAGAAAGGAGAAAAAGGGGACACAGCACGACCTTTCATTTTCATGGACCACAAACACCTCCCACAAGATTTCTCTAGGTTAGGGAAGAGCCGCAGGGCTTCAGGAGGCTGTTTGGATCCCTGCTCAGACTCAAAAAATCCTTCTGTGATTTTTGAAGCTGTCACATAAAAGCAATGAAAGCAAGAAGCGTGCCCAGAAACCACCTGACCAAGAAACTGCAGGGAGCCAAGAAAGCCACCTATGACGGAAGTGACCAATGCTTTGCTTCCGGCAGAGACTAATACCTGATATTTCTGAAGACCAAAAAGGAAATATTAAAACTGAAAGCCCTTGGCTACCATTAACAATTGTACAGTAGTATCAACAGAGGGAAATAATTTCCTTCCTGACTCCCACTGGGCCAGTCATGCCTGGAGCAGAAGGTGTGATTATCTAATCAAACAAGGCAAGAGCCAAATGGGCTAGACTGTGGCTTCTAGGGGGTTCTCAAGCATAGAGACTTACTCAGTCTATGAATCTACCTCCTGCTGCCTAAAGAAAAAAGGAAACATGAAAAGTAATAAGAATGCACTTTCATTTCAGCTTCAACCATCAACAACAGAAAGCAAGTTTCCAGATCTAGCAACTTTTCAAATCTAAGGGCAAATTAGAGCCTATGTAATCCTGGGTGATGGGGGTGCAGGCTGGGAGGGAGAGCAGACATGGAGCATACACCATGCACAAAGCACAGTGCTAACAATTGAACATTACAGTGTCTTGTATTTCTTTATATTTAGGATGAGTCTTTAAATAAAAAAAAAAACTGCAATGGCATATCATATGTAGACCACACTTTATGGTCTGCAAAACAGGTTGGTTTCTATCCACAACACAAATGCTCTAAATAAACAGGAGTAGACAGGAAGAAGAAGGTGATAAGAACGCTGCTTTTCTAGGGCTGAACATCTGTTCATTGGCAGACCTGGCCCACCCTACTCACTCTCTTTTTAACCACTCACAAACTTCCTGAGTCATTCTAGTCCCCAAAGCCTCTTTCTGTCCAGTCATGTTTAATTCTGATAAAATCAAGAAGTCCAGACTCGTTGTGCTAAAATTCCTAAAGCTCTCCAACAGAGAATTATACAATACCTGCCAGAATACCCTTAGAGCAGGGGACACTCATTATCTTTGGATTTACTCTTTCTTTCCATGATATGGCACTTTGCATCTATTACAAACCAGATATCTCACTAGACTCTGAGGATACAGACATGATCCAGAGATGCTGTCCCTCTTCTGACCAGATTTTATATTCTTAAAGACCTCGTGTAAGTCAAGCATCCTGCATTCCCAGGGTCTTACTCTTCTACCTGCTCCTGGGGAACATGGTTCCTGGTACTCCCAGTATCCTTAAGCCGCAAATCTGGTTGGCTAATGTCCTTTTCAGAGAATGAGACAAGAATTCAAGTCCAACTCCATGGGGGAGCTCTAACAGTAGGATTTCTGGTCACTCATGTAGCTCTACTCCTCTCTCCACCTCCTTACACCAGATATCCTTTTGAGAGACCACCTCTTCTCCTCTGTGTAGCTATCATGAGGTTTGGATAAGGTCATTTCCAAATTTTGATGCAAGAGAGATCCAGGTTCCCTACATGCCAGTCAGCACCGCTTCATCCTCACAGTCTCAGTGACTGGGCCAGGTAGGTGCAGGGAATCAAGACTAAGGGAATATGGCAAACAGGGCTCTCTACCTCAAATGGGAAGAAGGAGACCTGCAGCCTGGTGACCGCAAGCAGCCACATAATGAACATGAGGTGACACATCCCGAAGAAAATGTCCACACAGGGAAAGGGCAGAGCAAGGAGCACTGCAGAAAAACTGAGCCAAGCCTGCTCAACCTGCACCTGAAGCCCACTTGACTGTGGAGGTGCGTGTTCCCAGAAGGAGCCCATATGTTCACTGTGTTCTAGACGCCATACTCAATTTACTGCAGTCTAAGACTGCATCAGCATTTCAGAAGGCAAAAGCCACTGTTGGCTCAGAGTTAGTTTCCTGACAACGAAAACTTCTGAGTCTCTTCCAACTTGCTCCTATTAAGGCACTCTCTCCCATTCTGTCATTCTATATTGGAATTTTGTTTTTAATCCAAGTTCAGGACTCCATATTCAATCACAATTTAATTTTGTTTTTTTTGTTTTTTTTAATATTTTATTTATTTTTTTTAAAGATTTATTTATTTATTATTTATACAAGCACTGGGTACAGTCAGAAGTGCGGGAGGGTGAGAGAATTCACCAGAGCCAGAGCAGGGAGCAGAGCAGGCAGAAGGACCAAAGTACACTGCTGAGGGGAGCAGCGGGCAGCAGGAGAGGTCTGCGCGCCATGTGGGACCCTCCTCCGGTGGCCGGGGAACAGCCAGGGATCGAACCGGCGCTGCAGAGGCTGTGGGCAGCTTCGCAACCAGCGCTCAACCGCTGTGCCACCGGCGAGGCCCCACAATTTAATTTTGAATTCCAAAAATTAGGAGGCAAAGTAGGTAACAAAGATGCACATTTGATGCTTAAATGTATGCTTGGGGTAAATGTTTCAAGACCATGTTAGATTTTCAACATACTGGGCCTCTCTGGTGGTGCAAGGGGTTAAGACGCAACCTATGAAGCTATCTGCAGCCACTGCAGCACAAGTTTGATCCCTGGTCAGCCAGAGAGCTACCCACATGGAGCAGCAGACCTCTCCTGACTCACCCGCTGCTCCCCTCAGCAGTGTATTTCAGTCGATCTGCCTGTTCTGTTCCCCATTCTGTCTCTGGTGAATTCTGTCACCCTCCACACCTCTGACCTGTACCCCCACTCTTGTAGTGCATAAATAAATCAATCCTTAAAAAAAAAAATTTCAACATACTAAAATGCTTCAAAATCAAAGCAAAAGTTTCCAACCTTTTATCTCACGAACATCTATAAGCATATAGAGGGTTAATTATTCTTTTAAGATACATTAAGAAATGAAAGGCATCAAAATGTAACTATAAACTCAGTGACACTTCTAAAGGAAGTTAAGTTTTCTCAATTACATCCTAGCTCCATTTTGGAAAAGGACACCATAAACATTGCAAAACACATAATTTATTCAGTATAAGGTCAGTGTTTGGGGCACATACAGACCAGACTCAGCATGGACACCACAGATCTAGAATTCTAAAGGAAGTATTTCCCAGTTCTCCCATCATCTTCGATCCCTCCACAGTCCAGGGCACCCCGTATTATTAAATTTTTCCCCACCCCCATTTTTAGAACATGATGTTCTAGTCTACCCACTAAACACAGAGAAATTCTAAAAGCACAAGGTAAAGTTTACCTTACCTGGTCACCACTCCCCTCTCAAGTATGAACAGGATTCAACTCAGATCCCTATGGAGTTCCAGCAGACCCTTTAAACAAAGGTCCTGCTAAGCAAATTTAGCCTCCCCTACCTCAAAGGGTTGTTGTAAAACTAGAATAAGATTACAGAAGAAGTGTCAAGAACGGGAGTAAACACTCAAATATTATTTACTTTCCTCACAAATGTCCCTAACACTGTTCATGGACATTTTCATTTTGGTCTTGCAATTCAAGAGTGCCAAAGGACTAAGAAAGCAATATAATTATTGGCACCCTGAAATCTTCATTACTCTAAGTTTCCTTCTAATTTCTCTTCATGCCACCTTCCAAGAGCTGAATCCTGCTTTTGCCTTGCCATACATTATATTAGCATTATTATATTTCATCCACTGCCAGTGAAGTCTACTTGAGAGAAAAAAAAATGGAAGACTATTTTGGTTCCTTTCAAGTTCTTAGTCCACAGCAGTTATTGGTATTTAAACAGAAAGCAGTGATTGCTAAAACTCATTGACACATGCATATTGATAACAAGGGAAAAGTTATTTTCTGCATAGGACTCACCAGTTGAGGAAAAATGCCTTCCCTCTTCTGAGTGCCCAGGAGTAGAATAAGGCCAAAAAAGAACAAGACTGGGAATCAGATGACTGGATTCTGTCTTTGGTTCTGTTTCTGAGTCGCAGTGTTCCCACCTATGCAAAATAGGAGAAGGAGGTTACTTAAGAAGCTCACAACTTACCAGCACTAGAGCTTCCAGATTAATGAACTCACTAGCTAGGCCATCCTAGAAACAATGCCAGGCTGGAAACCCACAAATCCAGGGCCTTATCGCTCTACCTCCCTAGCGCCTTGTTAGCTCCTGGCACTTGTGTTTCATTAGTTTGTCTCAGAAAGTTGAGGGAAGAGAATTCAGGCGCCCCAATGTGCAGACCTTAGCTTTCCTGGAAAAACAACTTCATCATAGTATCAAAGGTGAAAGAGATAAGTCACTTGGTTAGAAACACTTTAAGCAAGAGTAGAATTAACAGCAAAATCTGAACTACAACAAAGAGAGACAAATAACTAAGTATGGAACCTAATGATCGCTCCAAACCTTAGTTTCCTTGCCTGAAAAATGAAAACCAGTGAGCAGCAGAGAGCAGAACAATCTTGACACTCTCTGGTGAGTTTTCATTACAGATTTTTATTTCATTAAGAACTATTACTATTTTGCTAAACATTGTGCAATAAGTATTCATCAGACAAGGATTCTAATCATTGGAAGGTTATGAAACATGTTTTTTCCATTTATAGGAGAAATCCACTGAGTTACTACTCCCATTTTCATTGTTGTTAACTTAGACAATATTTGACCAATCATACATTATTCTGTGTATATCTCGTTCAATCTTCAAATATCCATATAAACTGAAAATCAGGAGGGACCTTAAAAATGACCCATCTCAACTCTTCTAACTGACAAGAAAATTAGGGGTCAGCATAGGGAGGAGGTGACTTCAGGAGCCACCATTTATGGCAGGCACTGTGGTGCTCTGGTCCAAGGCTTACACCCCTGAACCCAGTGACTGCCACTTTACCAGTAGAATACAGAAACTTAATAGAAAGATGAACATGTCCTCAGTCCCACAGTCAATCACATGCCCAGGCCTCTGAATACCTGCTGCAAAGTCTTCATAGTACAGCCCAAAAGGAGAAAAAAAGTAAATTAGGAAAACAGAGCATGATCAAGATGAACACAGTGAAACACTAGCACAGCTACTGCTTGTCAAGGACATTAGAATTCTCCAAGCCACTGGACTGAAATGACAGAAAGGCCTAATTTCAATCTGACTGAGGAACTGTTAGGAGGCCAATATTGGACCCATGGACAGTGCAATCTCATATAAATCAAAAACACAGCCTCAGCCCTAATCCCCAGGAAACCCAAATCTCTCCTTCCAGAGAGAGATAAATCAGGACGTTTTCTCCAACAGTGGTAAACAGCACTATTTCTATACTTTGCAAAACTCTCCACCCTTTGGCCTTGGGGAAATCTTTCACACATTCATCAGCTTTCCTCCATGCACAAATGAAAGTGGTCTCCTTTTTTCATAGTCAACTTCTTTTTTAATATTTTTCTTCTTTTCCATAAAGAGAACAAGCAGATTTGCTAAAGAACCGCTGTGAAATGATTGAAGTTCCCATGCAAACAAACCATTAGCAGAGTTCAAATTCAATTTAAATTACCAGTTGTTAAAGTGCTCTTCAATTTCGTGGTAAGTTTCCAAGGAGAATTACATGCTATATACTATTTAATTGGTTGTTTTCTATTTTTTAACATCCATTTATCCCCCCCACCCGTATATTTCAAAAGTGTCTATAAAAGCTTCCCTTTAAAAAATTATACATTGTTGAATAGATTAAATCTAAAGATTGAAAAGTATCAGAGAAACAGCTGCAGGATTATGCAGCTCAGCAGAAATTGATGGCTTGACACTGCAAAACATGCAGAATTTTAAAAGCTTAGGAGTCACCTTGTAGTGCCCTCACTCTTTAAACATGAAGACACTGAGACCCCAAAAGGAAAAGAAACTATTGGCCCAAAGTCCTCTCTTTGGTCAGTTACAGATTCAAATCAAAAATCACAACCCCTAACTCCCAGCTGTGCTACCTCTTCCCGCACGTTGATTGACGAATGTTAGAACTAGTCGATAAACTTCCTTTTCCTCCTGTAGTTTATTAAGAGAAAGTTTAGTCATCTTTAAATACACTACTGACCTCAAAGTGGAGGTGGCAAATATCTTCACAAAAGGGAGTACAGGAAGTCAACGTTGATGAGTGGGTACGGCCGAGGGATACAAAATGAGCAGATTCTTGGCAGGAAAATTCAAGACACTGGACTTGTTAAGTAAGTTAAGGGACATCAAGACTGAAAATTTCCATTGCTTTAGAGACTGTTCATGTAGTAAAGATAAGGGTCAACAAAGTGAAGGCAATTTTGTCACATCTGTACCTGGAAAGGATTTCTAGGGACCATTGTTGGAACAAGGCGGAGTTCAAGGTTTTGATATTAGGATGAGTAAAATATTTAATCTCTCTGAGCTCAAGCTTCCCTGTCCGCAGAACAGGGCAAACATCACCTACCCACTAAGGCATGATTAATAAAGTCATATCCTGGAATTCCATATCCAGCATACACAAAACCCTCCATGCAATATGCATTAATTAATGTCCCCCGCCATTGTACCAGATTTCTATAACTTCTCAAAGCTATGGGTCTTTGATTCTAATTTATTTAGACTATAATTAAGTCTTATAAGCCATGTATGTCCACTATACCAGTTAGATGTTGTATGTCCCCTGACTATAAATTCATTTGTCATTTGAAAAAGAAAAAAAAAGTATATGCAAATTTTATGTATCCAAGCATTTTCCTCCAAAATCAAACTTTTTAGGGCTGCTATTTAAAAATGGCCTTCAGGATTATGCTTCGTGAAATAAGCCTGAAGGAAAAAGAAAAATATCAGATGGTTTCATTTATAGGAGGTAGGAATACAGGAGAACCAAATAAAGGATTAGGAAAATAATAATAATAGTAATAAATAGATAAAATTAGCAGGCAACTATAAATCAGAGACTTTCTACAGGGGAGGGGGAGGGAAAGAGATCAAAAGAGGTGAAGGAAGAGCACAAGGGACTCTGGTGATGGTTCACGGGTGATGTGGTAATGGGAGATTTATGGGGACCACACCTGAGGGAAGAAATCAAATACTGTACAAAAATAAACAATGATATAAACTCTCTCTCTCTCTGTCTCTCTCTCTCTCTCCATATATATATATAAAGATGACCTTCACATTTGGTATATGAAGCACACAGAAATAAAATCCCAACTTAATATGCAAACTATCATTTAAACTTTCTATCAATCTCCAATTGATCACTGAGAAAACTGAGGGTGAGGGCAATCAGACAAGGTTTGGGCACTAGGAAATGGGAAAGCAAGATCTCAGACGCAAATCTTGAAAATCAAGCTCCATAACACAGGTTTTACTATTTTGCAGTTATAACTGTGCTATAGATGGACGACTCTTCTGTTAGAGGTAGAAATAATACCTTAAAAAGCTTGTTCTGCTGTTTTCACATTTTAAGAAGCTTTGGGATAAAAAAAAAAAAAAAAAAACAAAGCCTGAATATTCAAGCTAAAAAATGTTCCCATTAGAAGCAGGTAGATCCTTTCTAAATTTCACCTTATCGTCACATTGTTATTTCAGTGAAATAACAAACTCAGAGCCCAGGCACTAAGCACATAGCTACTGAGTATGTGGGAAGCAGGCCTGAAAAAAGTGAGCTGATCATCAGGCCAGTTCAGAAAGAGAAATTCAAATGGCTGGGTTCATCAACAAACAAGTCATCGGTAACCCTAGCGTGAGATTCTTAACACCTCTCTGACACCACTGTTAAGTGACATGATGTCCAATGTCCTGCATTCGGAAGTGTACAACACAGACATTTGTTAGCATTTCTAGTCCTTAGTAAGGAGCAGAGCATGGATCTGGCAGGAGCAGGCGCTAGCTAAATATGCCCTGGGCTCTCACTGGGGACACACACGACAGAATGAAAAGTGTATGAATAATGATTCATGCTGTGTCCTTTGAGGGCCTAGAAGAACCATGCAAAGGGTGGCTTCTGAATTGAGCAAGAGGATTTCCATGCACAAAGAAGAAGCAAGCAGGCCCAGGGAACACGATGTGCCAAGGTTTTGAGGACGATGAGTTCAGGGTATTCTCAGGGCAAGTGACTAATCTGGAGAGACCAGAGGCAAAAGACATAGAGGAATGTGTGGGACATGAGGCTGGAAAGGAATGCTGCGGCCAGAACGTGGAAGACCTTGTGCCAGGCTAAAACACTTGGATCTGGCCTTTCCTGAGTAAAGCATTTTGGGAAATGACACACAACAAAGTTAAGTTGTAGACTGTCCTTTTAAGAACCACTTTTCTGATCAGTGTCCACACAGAACAAGAGGGGCAGTATCTAAAGGCAAGCTTCCTCTGAAGGGGCCCCTTCCCTGTTGCCCCACCCACAGAGAGACTGGAGAAGTAGGTGACTCTCTGAGCTGCTCCAACCCACCCTCCATTGACTTTCCTCTAAGTCTGGAAGTGCCATCCATAAGAGACTCAGGAAAGAAACCAAGTCTCCTATCAAAGTAAGACTCTGCCTTCAGGAAAACACCAGCACTACCCAACTTGATAATCAGAAGAACACAGTCTGGACACATGCTGTAGCCTCCCTTCTGTCACTCAGGTCGAAGGGGCCAGAGGCTTCTTCAGCATGTCCTATATGTGCCCAAAACTCCGTATCACAGATCACCTCACCAGGCCAGTCACTGTGAGTCTAGGGGTTGTGACCAGTAATTAACCTGCATGAATTTCACCAGTTAGGTTGCATAGAATCCTCCTTCCCCTACAGGTGTCTTGGTAGCAGTTGTCATACATCAGAGGTATGAGCAAGATTCCCTTCCTGCTGCTGACCTAAAGAAGCAGACAGCAAGAACCATTGAAGAAACATGGATAACAACACAAACACTCATAACAGCCCTGTGACTTGGTGAGATTATTTATATTCACGTGACAGATGAGGATGAGGTAAACTGACCTGAGAGATCACACAGCTAGGAAGATCCTGTACACATGAGCATCATATGGTTACACTG